GGAAAGAGAAGGGACATTTGTAGAAAACAGAAAAAGATGGCGCAGAGTAGTATTCTTCTTCTGCACAACTTGGGTGTAAGTCCAAAATGAAGTAAATACAGATTAATTTTAGTGCAACTGAGAGCAGCATCTGGACCCTCCTTTTAAACAAATAAGGCAGAGTTTTGTACTCTCACAAAATCAAACACAGGAAACAAAGAAAGGTCTAAAAATTACAATCTAGAGACTGATGAACGTCTTTGGGTACGCTCTGCCCAGTTTTTGAGAGCTGGCCTTCTGCCTTGTGTTTTTGCATCTTTGCAGAGGCTTTGTGGGTGCAGAATACCACCAAACCAGCCACTTTGTGCTGGTGCCAGTGATAACTCACAGTTGCATGCTGCAAGGGAGTGTCAAGTGGGCTGGCAGCGAAATGGCTGGGAAGCGTGCTGGTTTGATGTGAAACCAGATGGTGTTTCAGTGGTGTTTTGCTTTGAGATTTCTGGGTTCGCTCAAAGCTAAGAAGCTTATGGAGGAGGAAAACCATAAGCAGATGAAAACATACCCAACTTAACAAACAAAGAGTTTGCACAAGCCTCCTTGCACACAGTCTGGGGAGACACGTACCTTCACGTCTGCCCGCTGGAGCCGCACTGGGACCCAGAGCGGAGGAGCCATGCCGCGGGTGAGGACACACGGACAGTGGGACATTTACAAACCCAGCTCCTCAGACAGATGGGAAAGGAAACAGGAACTCAAAACAGAATAATGTTTTACAGAAGATGTGTTTTTCTAGAATAAATCCCAGCCAACCACCAGCTGGTTCTCATTTCAGCTTGCAGATGAACAGATTTTGAGCAGAAAAGCAGCAACAGATGCCTCGATGCTGCTCTGCATGAAGCAGAGAGGCAACCATCCACACTGGAATCATCCCCAGGACCCTGGAGGTTGCACTGTGTCAAGCTGGTCTGGAGCAAGGGAGCTGCACCCTGCCAATGCCTGTTGCTGCTTCTTTCCCAGCCCCTGGGTGCATCCCTCTGGGGAGGTCATGGGACATGGTTGGGCTGTGGGAGCTGAAAGAAAAGGCTGTCCCTTCCTTTCACACCCTCGGAGCTGCTCGTGAGTCCGGCAAGGGCAGAGGGAGGCACAAGAAGAGAGCTGGCTTGGGACAGCCACAGAAGGCAAGCCTTTCACAGATCCCCTGCAGAAGGGAGGACAGGGCCTGTGCTGAGCTCTCAGTGGTCTTTTGGGACTGGAAAGCAAAGCTGATTTGCCAGTTACAGGTTTTTCCTACTCAACTCCATGTAGTTTTTCACAACTTACGCATAAGGGAAACAGCTAAGGGCCAAAGGCTCTCAGGAAGCATGTTGCCTTCCTCCACATGTAACCAACCTCCACACGCACCTTCCTCCATGTGCTGAAACCTCCCTATCTCAGCAACAGGAGGGAGTGCTTCCTGAGACCAGCTCTGCACAGGCCCTGCTATACTTGGTCTGAGAGCCTCTCCGCTCAGGCTTCAAAACTTTTTGGACCACAAGATTTCAAGTTACATCAAGTGACAATGACACACAGTCCAGCCAGCCAAAGCCAAGCACCTCCTGCCCGGGACTTACCATCTCTCAAGCCACTATCCTGAACCATGGGGGTCTGCCCAGCAGAGCAGCAGCAGCAGCCTGGCACCTTCAGCCACGAAGCCAGGAGTGGGAACCCAAGGAAGTAGTGAACTGGCTTTGCAAGACAGCTGCACATTTCCTGCATGTCCAAGGACAACCCCTGTGCCAAGAAGGGGGGCTGAAGCTGCTTCCATGGCTTTTGCAGAGCCTGCAAAATCCTCTTGCCAAGGGGTTATATATAAGGAAGCTGCAGTGGCCAATTAGTTGCAGCAGGGCCTTCATTTCCTTCAGCCCTTGAGGACGAGGCAACAGGTGGGTTGAGGTTGGGATGGGGCACATGTGTGTGTGCTACAGAGGTAACCTGGTCCCTTCTGAAGTCTAGCCCACCATCCCTGCTTCACAGGACTCTGCCTGGGGCAGCCAGCTCTCAGGGTGCTGCAGGGTTGTTTGATACCTGCGGGAGCTGGGGTTGAACGAGGAAAGGCAATGCGGATAGGGATTAGCACAGTGGGTTCATGGCAATCACCATCTCTCATGAGGGCAGGTTCCTCTGTGCTTTGCAGCCATTCCCATCCATGCCACAGTCAGCATCCTTTAGTGCTAAGCTTCCTGGGATGGACGCCACGTGAATTTGTATATAAATCAGGGGAAGAGCACATACATGCTTTATATAAACAGATATAGGAGTAAGGAACCATTAACATAACCGCAGGTCAACTAAAGTCCTTGTTATGATTGCAAATGATTTCTCAAGTACAGTTCTTCACATCAAGGAATGTGCATTTTAAATATCTGTAATGTATCGTGCACAAACATGTCACCACGTAAACAGTACACACACCCCTCGATACTCCTGTATTATGTGGTTACATTTATCTCATGCTCTCTCCTGGTCAACAATCTTCTAAAAGCCTGCGCATTTTTCAGCCGTCCTCTTCCAAGAGCAGCCTGGACTTGCCAGCTAATGGGGCATCGGTTTGTTGTGACAAATCAAAGTGATTGATTAGCTTTTTATGATTCTGGAAAAGAGGGTTATGGTTTCTTTGAGACTAAATAGTCCCGTTTCTCTGACTGTTCCTGCCACCGAACAGCTACCTGGCACAGAAAGCTGTAGGGAGGGAGAGGGCCACGGAGGAAGGCGGGAGGAGCAGGCAGTAATTCTTGCACTTGTTTAGAGCTGGACTAAAAATAGAGGCTCTCGAACCTGTTTCACTGTAAGAAGCCTGCATAATTCAGACAAGTTTTACCAGTAAATTGCAGCTATAAAGGAAAAACCCCACAGCCTTAAAAGGTCTCTTGAAGCCCATCCAAAACAGTGTTCTGTCCAAGTGCCCTGTACGAGAGAGCGGAGGAGGAGAGAGTGGGAAAGCAAATGCTAAAGGCAGCTCTGGCCTGGTGGGGAAAGAGCAAAGTTTGCCCCCCGCCTCTGAGCTATGCCTGCCGCTGGGACAGCGTGTTCGAGCGCCCTGGGCTCAGGGCAAGAGGCAGTCCTCGGCTTACTCATTTCAGTACTGCCACCCCCAGTACATGCGCACACCGTGTACTGCCTCTGCCTCGGGAATTGCATTCTACCAAGGGAATTGCGGGAAATGATGACGAGGAGTCTTTGCTTGCCAGACTGCAATGCATGCCCTTCAGGAGAAGTTCTGCCTCTGGTTTTATGCAAGTGTCCAAAGACAAAACCAAACCTTAAGTGCATTTAAAAAAAAAACAAAACAAAACAAAAAACCAATACAACCCCCAGATACACAGACATCACTCCTCTGGTTGCTCAGGTAAGACCTCCCCTTTGCTTCTGCAACCCTGGGGATGTAAGGAGATGACATTCTCCTTCAGTCTCCTGTCTTCAAGCCTCATTTCTGGTTTTCTCTCCCTTTATTCCTTATCCCCCTGCTTGCTTCCCCCTTCCTTCTTGCAGTCTGTTCTCAGCATTTCCTCAACACAACAACAGAGGCAGTGACCTTCTGCAGAAGATGATGTAGTCAAGGGTCAACTCTGGCAAAGTTCATCCCCTTCTCATTTGGCCCACAAAGAGCTTTCCCACAAGTACTCAGTTTTAATTAATCAATTACCACTTTTAGATGTGCAGAGATGCAAACCTCTGTTAACTCCGGTAAATACACTACATGAATTCAATGTCTTAAATGCCCCCATCATGAGGTGAGGAGCAGCACCTATCCTTGACAATATAGTTGAGAGAACACAGGTGAGCCAGGATGAAAAAGATGGGTTTATTCTCCGGTCAAAAGCACTGCGGCGCTTTCAGTAGTCATGAGGGTGCCCGAGCTTTACCACATAACAAACATATCAAAACTGACCTCCTTGGCAAACCTGCATCAGAGTAAATCCATCTCTGTAGTGAAGAGGAATGGCTGTGATGAGGCAGTTGGCACTTCAGGCTATGGATGCAGGAGTGCATGGGTGGCAGGGCATCTCTGTGACTCAGACCCGTTGCTAGGACTATTAAATGGCCCTTTCAGCTTTTCTTGCAACCATTTGGACTACTCTCTGGCACTCTTGGCACCAGCCCTACCTGAGATGGAGATGCTTTCATCTCCATTCTCACCAGGGATATTTATTGAACTAATAAATCAGCAGCAGCTTCCCCACAGCTCCGACTGGCACAACAGGCAAGGCACCAAGGCGGGAAGCAGCCTTCCTCTGGGCAGCCTGGGCCCTGCCGTGCCCTGGGCGTGCTGCCACGGTGCAGTGCCTGGAGGCATGCAAGGGAAGATGCCGCTGGGGTTTCCCACCCAGGACTGCAGCATCGTCAGAGAGCCAGGTGCATTTACAGGAGGCAGATCAGATTTTTCCATTAAAGATCCACCTAGAAAAAATAATGGGGGAAGCCCAGGCAGGGAAAACAAGCATGGTGACATTCAGCAGACCAAAACTCTTCCACCTTCATGATAAATGAATTAGTCTGAAGCCAGTGAGCAGAGGCATCCCAGCTCCCTGCAGCAGAGTGAGTCATCCTACACTCTTCCCACAGCAAAGTTTAAAGACCTCCACACTTGACAGCCAAACGCATCTGTGGAAACAGCAAGTGAAACGGAATGGACAGGAGCTGGTAGGTAAGGGCTGCCATTTGTTTTTTGCTGGGACACTTATGCAACCAAGCTAAAGGAGATGCATTTCCCTGGAAAAGTGTAACCGCCCTACTGGTGTTGAGTGGATGTCACACAACTGGTAAGTCACGTCTACTGGCATTTTTCAAGCAACACATGCGCAGGTCACAAGACCCTGGCAGTGCACTGATGGAGGTCAACCAAAGCCACAAGGATGGCCTAGCCAGCCTTCAAACTTGTAATAATTAGAAATGTGTGCTACCTGCTTGTCTCCAGCTGAGTCTCCTTTCCTCTCACGGAGCCAGTGAAATTAAATAGGGAGAATAAGATTGGCTAATATTCCCTAAAGGCTTGATTCCATCTACACATTAACGTATCCGATCAGTTCTGTTACTATTGGGCTTTAGCCTTTTAAATAATAAAGAAACCAGAAGTTAGCAGCATTATGTCATTTCCTGTATCACCCCGAAATGTTTATTGTGACTGGCAAAATATATGAATTTTGCACATCAGAAAATATATAATTCGGTCTCACGTGGCAGGAGAGACAGTGGGTACCATTGTATTTTGGTGAAGTGCAACGATTTTCCTCAGTGTAGCAAAGAATTTCTCATTGTTATGCTGACGTTGGCCAGGATCATGGATCCAAAACTGCCTCAGGTATCACATGCTCAACAGGCCTTCTGCATAGTACTTGCTCATGAACCCCTTCTGATCCGCGTTTCAGGAGCCTGGTTTTGAATACAAGTGATGTCAATAGATCAAGACTGGATCAAGTAGTCTTCAAAGTCACTCTGACAAATGCTGGAAGACAGCAAGACATCAGGAATGTAGCAATATTTTCCTAAACTTCTCCTATGTCAACCTCTATAAGGCCCCAAGATCTCTCACGCTACCCTCCATCCTTCTGTTGGCTTTTTCCCCCTTGCCTGTCTCCCCTTGCCCAGGGAAATCAGGCAGTAGGCCACCACACATATTATTCCTAAGAGATTTGAAA